GTATTTGCTTGGCGCAGCACGTGGCCCACAACTCGCACGGGTGCGTCTGACAAGTTCTCCTAGGCCCTAGTTGGGCTCCTCCTGTGGTTAAATATTTGTGCTGGGCTAGGAATAAGCCTGGGCTCAGCCTTTGGATTTTTGGGCCTCAACAGACTTTAATACCCCTCCAGCCCTAACTACAGTTAGACGAATTTGACGAAAATTGGGCAATGTCTTCGAATTGTTTGGAACTGAAAATCACAAGTTTCAAAAGTGGTAAAAGTAGTAAACCACAGGGACCAAAAGTGAATTTTTGCAACCAAAAAAAAAGTTTCAAAATCATGCCCCTAACACGTGACTACTAAGCTGTTTGTTTGTTTTTTTATTGGGTCTGAAATACTAAGCTGTTTGTTGAGTACGCCATTTTCCCAAACAGCAACCAAATAGACTGAGAGAGAGAGTTACCACAAGAGAGGCAGACAGAGATGGCGCTGAGAGCAGCCCTACTGCGGCACGTGCGAATTCCGGTACAAACCCTAAACCCAGCCCTAACCCTAACCGGGGGAAAATGGGGCCCACCTTCTCTCCGGTGGATGTCATCGCACGACGATCATCTCACCAAATCCGAGGTCACCGAGAGAGTCCTCTCTGTTGTCAAGAGCTTCCCCAAAGTCGATCCTTCCACGGTATGCCTTTTCCTACCTCTACCTTCTGTTTCTTTCCCAGGAAATGTAAAACATTATATCAGAATCTCAATCCTTGTTTTGATTTTTCCATCGTTTTTACCATTTTGTTCTTTGGTGAGCTTTAGTTAGTGTGCTATCAGTCTATTCCTTATTTGAACTTAATTTTTCTCATGGATTTTTGAAATAATTCAAGTTTGATTTGGGTTTCGAGGTTATAAAATAATGTCAACAGAAGAGAAAGAAAAATGAGATTTTGGATCAGTTATATTTTTTTTTGGTTCAATCTTAGTCCCTTTTTGGGCATTTTGTGGATATCAATGTCCAGATATCAATACAATGTAGAAATGCTGGTGTTGTTTTGTCCTGAATTCGTTGTTTTCTTTGTTTTCTTCATTCTCTGCCTCTATGGTAATGGGCTAAGTAACTTTTAATCATGCCGTATCGTTCTGTATGATGTTTAACCTTTAAATATGTTTAATGGGTCAGTTGGGCCTTTTAATTCTTATGATAAGAATCATGGGTAGAACTTGACCCTGCAAAATCAGCCTGCTAGGTAAGGCTTTCGAAAGAGTTCCTATTTAGCTGATGTGGGAAAACAACTTCTATAACTGATTTTTGGGGCATGTAATGCACATTATGCAGGGACTGTGATCCTTGATTATTGAAACTGGATGTTTTTGTATTTGTTCGATGCACTTGCACGCATTAGTAAAGTTTTGTTAGAAATTTTCCGAGTAAAGGACACATGGTTGCAACTTAACATATTTGTAAACGCACTGGTCCGAGACAGAGATCGGGCTATCAGAACTAAATAGGACAGTTGGTGAGGCAAATTCTCTGGAACAATGAAAATAGATATTAACCGTGTCAAAATGATAAAACATTTTTTTTGCTCTTTGTAAGGAAATTCTACTACTGGGCACTTGATAACT